TTTTTTTGGCCGGTCATGGGACTTGAACTCTGGGCCTGGGCTCTGTCCTTCAGCTCTTCAGCTTAAGGTGAGTACTATACCACTTGAGCCACAGTACCACTTCCATTCTGCTGGTAGTTAATTGGAGATAAGAGTCTCATGAACTTTGCTGCCTGGGTTGGCTTTGAACCGTGATCTTCAGATCTCAGCCTTCTGAGTAGCTGGGATTATAGGTGTGAGCCATTGGCACCTGGCTCCCTGTATTTTATCTTTTATAAGCCAGTACCAGAGTTTGAACTCAGGGCCTTAGGCTTTCTGGGTTTCCTTGAGCCACACCTCTGACCTAACTTCTTACTGGTTATTTTGGAGGTGGGATCTCTTAGACTTTGCTGCTCAGGCTATTTTCTGACTTTAATGCTCCAAATCACAGCCTCCTGAGTGGCTAGGATTATCATACCAGCGAGCCTCTGGCGCCTCTTGGCCCCTCTTAACCATCACTGTGACTGAGAGCAGTAGCAGTGTGTTGATGGTGGCTCAGTGGCCACATGTTTGCAGGGGGGTGGTACTATAGCGGGTAGCCTGCTGTCCCAATCCAGCCCACGGAAGATGGAGGCCCTGCTTCCTACCCCCAGTCTATGGGGAATGGTCCAAGGGGAGCTTGCAGAGGATTCGTGGCTCCTTGGTTGGCCCACGGCTATCTCCTTGCCAGGACCCACGGAGCCCTTGACTCAGAGTCTGAGCGGGCGCCGGTGCAAGGCCATCTGCGCGGCCTCTGAGTCAGCCAGGAGCCTTGTGACCATATGACTCACCTGGGCCTTAATTGCCCTGCTAATCATTTCCTCCCTCAGAGGCTGTTGGGAAGGGTGGGGCCTGGAAGGGCAACCCAGAGGCTGGGGGGGGGGGCAGTCAAAGGCCCTGGCTAGCGTGGGACCCTCTTGGCTCCTTCTGCTGCACTTCCTCCCCTGGGATTCTGGAGAATCTCAGAGAAGGGCCACGGGACTGGCATGATGTCACTTCTGGCCTGGGCAGGACGAGGGTTGTGTGCTAGGTGGGCATGGGGCACATCTCAGCCCTGTGGGTCAAGGATGGCTTTAGAGAGCGGCCTGGCACTAATGGTTAGTGGAGGCAGGGACGAGCCCATGCAAGAACCAGTGTTGGGGAGGAGGCAGGATGAGGGCAGAAGGCCCAGGAAGACCTGGAAAGAGCCAGGCATCTCTGGAGGGCATGCATATATGCAGGCATGCATGCATGCGTGTGTGTGTGTGTGTGTGTGTGCACACGCACGTGCATGCACACATGTGTGCCAGTAATGGGACTGAATTCAGGGCCTAGGCACTGTCCCTTATTTTTTTTGTTCAAGGCAGCACTCTACCACTTGAGCCACACCTCCAGTTCTGGCTTTTTTTGCTGGTTCATTGGAGATAAGAGTCTCTTGGACTTGTCTGCCCAGGCTGATCCTCACATCTCGGCCTCCTGAGTAGCTAGGATTACAGGCGTGAGCCATCGACACGCTTGACTCTCTGAAGGTCTTTGAGTGTGCACTGTGGATTTGCTGTGGCCAGCCCTGAAGATTTGGGGCACCTCAAAGTCACCCTGCTGGGTGGGGTGGCTGAAGGGCCATGGGGCTGGGGGCCCTCCATGGCCTCAGCTTACCCAGGAGGGGAGGGCAGAACTACTCGCTTTCGTCTCCAGCTGGAGTGGGAGCTGGCAGCCGCGAGGGGAGGCCCGGGAGAGAGCTGGGTGGGGTGGCGCTCCGCCTCCCACAGGCCTGCACAAGCTGTGGTGCTGCACACCCGGCCCACACCTTGCCAGATCTGCCTTCACATCTGGGAAATGGGAGAGTCCCGGCTTCTCCTGTGGGTGGAATGGAGATGTAACAGACACCTAGAAACTACTTTGGCTGGAAAGTACTGGGGCCTACAGATACCCAAACGGTAACTAGCAGCAGGGAAAGCCAGGCGCTGGCTGCTGCTCAGGAGGCTGAGATCTCAAGGATGAAGGTTCAAAGCCAGTCCGGGCAGGAAAGTCTATGAAACTCTAATCTCCAATGCACAGCAAAAACTGGAAGTGGAGCTGTGGCTCAAGGGGTAGAGCATTAGCTATGAGCCAGAAAAGCTAAGCAACAGCACAAGGCTCTGAATTCAAGCACACACAGACAGACACAGACACAGACACACACACACAGACACACACACATGCACACGCACACGCACATGGGTTTTAGGAAGGGCAGGAGAGGAGGGTGACATGTTTGTGAGGGTGTGAAGCCGTCCTCGGGAAAGGCTCAGCAGGGCCTCTCTACTTCCCAAAGACTGGCTGGCGTTTGGGGTTCTTCCCTCTGTGTATAGAATATATCACCTTTCTCAGACTCCTGCATACTGGGGTGCAGGCTGGAGCTAACATGTAGAACCCCTGGAGCTGGGCCTCTGGTCTAGAACTCAGGTTCTCAAGAGCTTCTTGGATCTTCAATTCCCAACTCCAAGATCAAGCTAAATAAAATAAGAAAAAGAAGCTCCTAGGTCCATGGAACGTTCTCAGAGCACCCATGGGCAAATATTTACTAGGGATCTACTCCATTCCAGTCCTCTTCCCTGTTCTGTGGTGCAGCAGTGAGTGAGACATTCCAAACCTCCAATTTGGGGG